CCCCTAAAGGAGAGAGAGAGAGAGTGTATGTGTGTGTGTGTGTGTGTGTGTGTGTGTGCTAATTCCTCCCCTGTCTAATGGACTTGAGAGGGACTCTACAGGTGCATTTTGTGTGTGTGTCTCAAAAGAGGGAGAGTAGAAGAGAGTCGGAGAGAGAGAGAGGCAGTCTCTGGCATTGGTTTTATTTAATATGGACCTATAAATCAACCCTCTTGGAACAAGAGATGTGAGATATTCTTTTTCTCTTTGCCCCTATCTCTGACAGAGGGATAGATCGTTCTTACCTCTTTTTGCTTCCTGTGTATGACAGGTTATCACTCCTGGGACAGATACAGCAGAGAGGGGAGAATAAGGAAAGAGATGAAGAGTGATTGAGTGAGAATGATGCTCCGTGGCTGATGTATCGGATGGCAGATGAGGGGCTGGGGTGAGGGTACAGGGCGGAGAGAAAAGAGTGATTTAACGCTGGCCTGTACTCTCCTCTCCTCTTATCCCTGCCCCGCTTCTTTCATGTCTCAACCCAGGGTCGACCCGCCTGCTGCCCCAGATGGTGCTGTCTGTCTGGGCTGCCCTCTACAGGATGTGCCCCCCTCACCCCACAACTACAAACCTATACTCGCTTAATTGATTTCAGGGAGGGAAGGCCCTCTTTCTCTTCTGTTTCTCACACACACACACACACACACACACACACACACACACACACACACACACACACACACACACACACACACACACAGACAGCCTGCCAACAGCTAGTGCCCCCTTTGCACACACACATACACGCGGCCGGCGCTGTCCGCTGTCAACGCTAATTCAATTTGAGACGCGGGAGTGTGACTAACAGCAGACCTGCAGAGTGTTTTACCATATGCAGCACACACACACACACACACACACACACACACACACACTGCTAACAGTCACATCCACTAGTATAATAATAATGTAATTCCAGAGGTATAAATCCTATTAATAGATCTCTGCTCTTCCTCTTTCTCTCGTTATCATGAGGCAGTCATCTTGTCAACAACTAGGCCAAACACCTTATTAACCCCTTCAACTTCACTGCCTGACCCAGAGTCAACACAACCAGTCAAGGTGAGACACACTGTTACAGCATGTTGAATCTGAAATAATTCATATAATTAATAAACGTTTGTAGGTTACAAGAGAATAAATACAACCACAAATTATTTAACTATGATTATTTCTAATTTGAATTGCTTTTAACATACTTTGTACTTTTCCCCAAGAAAAATAAATCAAGATATCACGTTAAACGTAGTAAAAGGGGTTTTTGAATGGTTGTGAAAAGTCTTAATTTAATACAGATGGTTCTATATGGCCTACATGAGCATATCAGACCAAGTAAATGGTAAATGGACCTGTACTCGTATAGAGCCTTTCTAGTCTTCCAACCACTCAAAGCGCTTTTACACTACATGCCACATTCACCCTTTCACACACATTCACTCATCAAACACAAACTAATGCATTCATACGTATTCACACACCAATGCACAGCATCGGGAGCAATTGGGGGTTCAGTATCTTGCTCAAGGATACTTCGACATGTGGCGGCAGGAGCCAGGGATCAAACCAACAACCTTCAGATTAGTGGACGACCCGCTCTTCCTCTGAGCACACACAAGTGAGAAGATTAGCTATTTCAATTTTATTCTTAAAGCCTCAATTAAACAAGGCAGTGGAAACACTACCGCTTTTGTCCACATGGGCTGTCAGAATCTTTGAAGAAGCTGACACTATTCACAACAAACTCACAGAAACATGCAATGTATATGAACCGGAGTATACAGCCATGCAAGTGGCAACGCAAGGCTGTACTTTGACACAGCTACATTCTAACGTCTGCATGCTTACATGCACGCAGCAACAACGCTAGCATTCTGATGTTTACCATTCTTGTGTTTGCCATGTTCAACATCTTAGTTTTGTGTCTTAGCAAGCTCATATTTGCTCATTAGCACCAAACACAAAGCTGAGCTGAGGAGGTTGGGGTGTGTCCTCAGTTTTGCAGGTGTTCTGGCCAGAAATCAAAGCGATGAAAAACTTCATCAAGAGATCACTAAAATAATTCCTCAGTTCCTCGGGGAAACATGAATGTCTGAACCAAATCTTATGACAATCCATCTGATTGCTATTGAGACAACTCTTTTAAGCCATACTATAGACACTATGGACAGCCGAACAAAGAAGGGAAGAAAGGGCTTTGTTGGGACATGGGGTGAATGAGAACATATTTGTTTGAATTAGCCTGGAGCAACAGTTGCAAATGTAAGTTGGTGAACTACGAAGAAGCGTGGCACCCAATCCACAACGCCTTCATGTGTGGAGACACAAAGACTGGCAGACAGCCTCAATAAAGAGTAAAAGACAAGGCTGTCCATGTTCACGGGTCGTTTGGCTGTAAGAGATATCGGGGTGGGTGATGGGGTGAGGTGAAATCTTAATGAAGCGTGCTCTGGACAGGAGGGATGGATAGGGCCAGCTGTATCGGCGCGTGTGTGTATGTGTGTGCACGAGACAGTAAAACTGATTAAAAGCAGCGTTAACACATCTGACAGGAAGCAATGGTCAAGAGGTGAATGGAAACTGGGGAGAGCCTTGGGCTGCACCGATTAGACACACACTTATCAGCAGCAGCAGCAACAGCAACAAGCAGATGGAGACTGGGGAAAAGCAGGGGAAAACCCTGGGCAGCAGCGATTGGTCACACATGCCCATCGATATCCGAGTAGAACCAATCAGCTCGGCTTCCTGTGTTTGACCTGACCCTTCACGCATAGTAATAGAATATTTCAAATGGGAGGCAGAGGAGGAGAGAGAAGACCGGGAGAGGAAAGAATGAAAAAAGAGCCTGCGGCCGCCTTACTATATGAAACGTTTCCATCTCAAACTCCACCTTAAATAGACGTTGAACCTCTTTACTACACTCACAAGTGATGATAGACTGTAACAAAAATGGGTGGAACTGTGACCATAAAATAATTTTAAAAGGTATACCAGAAAGAATATAAACAACAAAAACAAGCAATATACACATATTCTTGTGAAATACAATTAAGTAAAATGTGTATCTATACTTGTAGTCCCACCATATCAGTTTAAACCTTTATTATATTTTATAATATGCAGCAGAGACGTGTTAATTCCATATTTTATCATCAGTAATTTCTTAGGAAGTTTCCTGGAAATAACTATGTAATTTTGTACTAATTATAGGGAGAATGGGAATTCAATTTTTTAGTCGAGCTGCAACTAAGGATCCATTTTATTATCGATTTCATTTATTATTCATTATCAATTAAACATTTAGTCTATGAAAAGTAAATAGTGAAGAAATGCCCATCACAACTTACCAGAGCCCAAGGTGACATTTTCCAAAGGTCTTAATTTGTTCGACCAACAGTCCAAAAAACGTGGAAGATATTTGGTCTACAACGACCCTTAAAAGCAGTAAATCATCTCATGTGAAGAAGCTGAAACCAGAGAATGCTTTCCTTAAATGTTTCAGTTCTGCTCTAACAAATACTTAAAGGATAAAACAGTTATGAAAGCAGTTGCTAACGACGGCTGTCAATCAAATAATCAGGATATAAAGGAATAAATATTAATTCATTGTTTATCATTGGAAACTTTATTCCTAATATACTGTATGTTTAACTATGTGCTTGCCTACTTTAAAATTTTTCCAGCTGTGCACTGACTAAAAGACTCTGAGTTATGCACCAATTAATTTGAAATAAACAATGGTTTTAAGTTTTCCTGGTGAACACTCTATTTTAGTAAATGACGTAGTTGTTTCTAGAAGACCTCTTGGAAATAATTCAGAAATTACAGACCTGTAAAAAAGTGTTACAATAAGCTTTATTCTTGATATTAAAAATAATGTTTTTTATTGACATGTATCTTTTCCTGCTGAATCCCAGCTCGTGACTAACTGGACTATTTCACATCCTGTGTGTGAATAATAGTAGTCTAACCAATCCACTAGCTGTAATTAGAGCTTTTGGACCGAGCCAGCGTGTGTGTGGCTCTGACCAGCTCCCCCCCTGTGCAGAAACCAGACAGGTCGGCCACAGGGACAGGACCACCGGCCCACCGGATCCCTGCCTGTCAGCAAGTTCCACTCCTCTAGGAGTAGGGAAGAAAGCCACTAGGTATCAACACCTGACACACACAGATATACAAACACAGGGTTTCCTCCAGAGCCGCGCTCATACAGGAGCTGTCTCCAGCACATCTGGAAGAGGCATCCCTGCACATATGTTGAGATGCACAAAGCGGAGAGGAAAATAGGCCATGAAAGACTCTCCCAGCTTTAATCATGCTTAAAGAGATGGCCACAGAAGGTTAAAAATAGATTTAAAACAAAACTTACTGAATACATTTTGCAGCTCTGACAGCTGAGGCACATGGAATTTTAATTTCAGATGATCTAACTCTGAGCAGAAATGACTGACAGCTGTTGGATTACTGGGGCCAGTGTTTTTTGGATCACTCTAACGTCTGAGGAGTTGAAGAAGTATGTGCGTAATAGGCAAAATAGAGACTTTTGTCAGTCTGGGGGCACTGATGATGATTGTGAATGTAGTTAAGTGTGTGCTGATGATGATTAGAAAGGACACAAAAAGGGTCAGAGGTGGCTGAGTGTCACTCTGGAAGACTCCCATCAGCTATGGGGCAGTGGGTGTGCTCATGTATAGATACTTGTGTGTGCTTGGACAGCACCTGTAATGGCTCCCAGCTGAGACTTGCCTCCCCCCTGGGATATGGTGAATTCTGTGTGTGTGTAATGGGGCACTGGCATGCGAGCGGCAGAAGGCCGCTTCCTCTACAGGTGACACCTTTGACCTCTCATCTGTTCCCTGTTGGAGGAGAGAAAGAGGAGGGGTAAGATGGAAAAAGGAGGGACAGGAAGGTATGCAGGGATACATACTTTTCCCAAAACACTGCAATAAACTGGCCAAAAAAGGTGAGAAGTAAAACATGTTAATGTTTAATGACTCTGTCTTTGCATATAAGTGCGTGGTGAGCCACTAGAGTGGTAACCGCTACATGCAAAAATATTCCAGCTTTCTCCCAGGCAAACATTTACAATGAGCCCTCTTTTTGGGTAAAATATAAAAAATAAAATAAGTGAGTTTCACCACTAAACAGCCAAGACAAGGCAACAATACTAAAGGTCCCTGCATCCTCAGTCATGCAGAACAGTAACAATACAAGCATACTCTTAACAATACCCAGTCGGTAAATCAGTAAATAAATACATAAACAAATAAATAAATATATTGCTTCTTTTGCATTTTATACATAGTATATATTGAAATGAGGTATTAGCTATTAAACAACATACAATTGTTTTTTCAACAATTCGAGCAAAAAATCCAGTCCAAGGTGTGCCACCTTAAAATAAAGAGAACACGGTGAGTAGTGTCCTAATGCCGAGCTAATAAATAATTAGAATACACGTTAAATATGAGAGTGCAAATGAACATTAATATGAAAGGACTGTGTGGGATACAGTTAGGACCAGGATGTAAATATCCATTTTCCCCCTTTCTTTTATTTCTTACAAAAGAACGAATCTGGAACACAGAGGAGGGCACAGAGCTTGCAGGCACATGGCACCTTTTTTGTTTAATCTCCCCTTTTTCTCTCCCTGTCTCTTCTTGCTTCTCTTGCTCTTCTGCCTCCTCCTGATCTTGTCATTTTCCACATCATTATGACACCTGGCCTCGCAGTCTGGACAGCCTCTGGGAGAGTTCGTCCTGATAACGACACAAAACAGGTAAAACGTTAAGGGAAAGCTTGAGATATAGACAAAGTTTTACTGGTCTTACAAAGGCCAGCCATACAATATTTTCCTCTCTAAAGGAGTCCGTTTTAAATCCAAAACATGTTTCTTTTATTATATCAGCAGTTCTGAACTTGCAAAACATAAAAACACCTTTTTAGGTTTAAATGGTGCTTTGTGTAAACCACTGTGTCAATGGTATGCGGATGGGCTGTGTGTATAAATGTACTGTGTCTTATGTCTGTCTTGTAGTTATGTTGTGGTGTATAATGTAATAATAACCAACCAGCCGTAACATTACGAGCACTGACAGGTGAAGTGAATAACACTGATTATCTGCTTATCATGGCACCTGTCATTGGATGGAATATATCAGGCAGCAAGTGAACATTTTGTCCTCAAAGTTGATGTGTTAGAAGCAGGAAAAGTGGGGAGTGTGAGAACTTGAGCAACTTTGACAAGGGCCAAACTGTGATGGCTAGACGACAGGGTCAGAGCATCTGACTGCAGCTCTTGTGGGGTGTTCCCGGTGTGCAGTGATCAGGACCTATCAAAAGTGATCCAAGGAAGGAAACGTATGGTGCTGCTGTTATGGCTGATGGGTGTATATGTATTTACGGGAGACTATGTACAGACTGTGGCAACATATTTCCTTGAAAGGAAAATAAATAATCTATGTGACAAAAAAAACAAACTTTGTCAAATGGGCAGCTTGAGAAATTGACAAGCTAATAGTATCACTCCACCCTGTAGCTATGTCCTTAAATAAACAGTGGCTGTGGTCAGCTTTAATTATGTTGGTTACAATGGATTCCTCTGGTGAGTTATCATAATGGACAACATATCAAGACTTCTTCAGTGACAACTCAAACACTTCCTGCCACAAAATACACCTTTCCGCCGTCCATCTGTACGAATGTTCCAAACTGTCATTGTTTAGGTAAAGAAATGGCTCCATATACTGCTTCTGTGTCACACTATCACTCTCCATGATGTTCGTGAGCCCCACCAGGGGCTGCGTCTTTTAGTCATTGTTGGTGAAACAATTATTGTCTTGAACATGCTGAGAATACAGATGAAGAAATGTATTGAGCTGCAGGAGTGTTTTCAGAAGTTATTTGAACCTACATATTGTGAATAATCCAAGCTGACCACAGTCAATGTTTTAAGAGCCACCTCTCAATCGTACAGGAGATTGCTTTAAATCTCATTTGGGTGACACTAGTTCATGTGTACCAATGAGCCTGTCAAAGACAATAAACATAGTATGTGACTTCTGTTTCTGGGATGTAACACATTAAAATAGGGACAGCATAATGATAAGAGTGAATGTGTTAACCTGCTCTGTTGATGCCACAGATGAAGCCAGTGAGGAAGTCTGTCCTGAAGGAAGTTCCAGGTTAAGATCCAACCTAAAAAAAAAGAAAACACAGGAACATTTTAACTGTAACTTCTGCTTGGCTTCTTCGCTCTTCAGCAAAATCAGCAAAATGGGGGCTATTAAAGTAGTTCTGACCTCATAACATAGCTTCTTTAAAATTGTAGCCTTAATCTTAATGGGCTTTTTGTAGTACAAGGAAGCCTTGTAAACAGTAAAAGAGGTTTGTTCCCTAATCTTTATATCAAAACCATTTAAATAAAGCTTTTAGTACAATTTATGTGTGTTCTTAAACGTTAACCTGTCTACTTTAACAAGTCGGTGCAGTTGGTTTTTAATTCCCTGTATTTGTATTTGTCCTTTATTAATGCTCTTGCTTTTGACATTACAGTTACTGTGGCAATACTTGTTTTTTCAAATTGTTTAGAGATTTGGGCCATACTCACCCTGCTTCATCAGCCATCTCATGCAACAGCATATCCACTTCATTCTAGGGACCAATCAGGCAAACAGTCATTTAAAGAATATGGAGTAGAGGATTCAATGTTTGAACAATCACTGGGGTTAAGACTGCCTTCAAAAGTAGACACAGGAGCATAGTTTCCCCTGGTTGTAAAAGGAGAGTGCTCATTACCTGAGGTGTTGTTAGAGTGATGGTGTTGCCCATTGTGTCTTCCATCTGAGCTGTCTGCACATCAAGAGTTTCAAATTGGTTTTCAAACTTGTCCATTAATGCAGAGATCTGTAGAGAACGATAGATACAGAAAACAACATTGCAAACATCTTAATTAACATATCTTCTTTGACTTTGTTTGTATATGTGTCTGTCTGTGCCTGTGTTACCTTTTCCAAGTTCATGCTTTTCAGTGTAGAATCCATAGACTTTACCACTCCAGACATGGATTTAGATACCTGGGGGGAAAGAAACACATAAAATAAAGTACTGAAGCCTTTGAAGTCTCCTCACTCTTTACTTGTCTAACTATATGTGAATCAAGACAGGATCAGGGCATCTGAAGTCAGAGGGAGATGGCTCTTGATATGGCAATGCTTAAAGTGCTGTGTCATTATACTTCCACTAGGTGTCACTTTTACCTTTTTAACCAGATACTTTGTCATGACTACCTCTCAGCCTAAAAGCATTCCTTACATTTCAAGGATGGCGCTGAGTGACGATTAAACATGTCAAGACCAACCTACCAATAGTTGACCAACTTAGTGTAAAGAAGTTTATTATAAATTATATTGAGTTTTATGAGACAGGCAGTGGTATTACAACAACATACAGAGGCTATAAGAGATGTTTTTTTAGCTTTACCACTCTGTTCCCCCATTTCTATATACACTATTAAGTTCTATTCTATGAAATAATGTCTGTCCTACAGTGAACCTGAATTAAAGCAATTTAAAGAGGCTGTCACTCTCATAAAGAGCGAGAAGCTAAAAGCCTAAAGTCTGAAGCACATCTAATGACATTACGTAATTGCTGGCTTTTTGTTTGCATGTCTGGTAGCCTTTTTTTCCTCACTCTCACTCCCTCTGTCTCCTTTGTGTAGGACCTTTGACGGAGTGTCTCTTAAGGAAAGACTACCTTGGACTTTATTTTTTTATTTAACCCTGAAACAGTTACTGAATGTGAGATCTTTTCTAAATATGCATTTTGAAAACTACATGCACAGTGAAATATATAGTTAATATGCATACCCATATCTATCACAGTGGTGTAACATATTTCTACCAGAATAACTTATAAACTCATATAAAAGCCATTTCTACATATTTGTCAGTAAACACAGGGGGTCGTTCTTAAGATACCTATCAAGGAGGCAGTTGGGTAAATTAAGTGGATAAGAGACTATCTTTAAATCTGGATGTGTGACTGCAGTAAATATGTCAGGTATGCTTTTCACTGGTTGTCATTTACCTGCTTTACCTAGCATCAGGTAAGGCAATTCTTCTACAAACCACTGACCTGCAGGGACGCTGGAAGTCAGTCAGGGGGTGCTAAGAAAAACTCTATCTATATAATGATGTCATATAAATGCATTGAATTCATGTTTTTTGCATTAATTTGAGTGGCCATGATAATGTATAGTCTATTTAGTAGTTATTAAAATAACTGTATAACTGTTTAGTGGATAAAACTGATAAAAAAAACAAGTAATTCTTCTGCCATAAATGCCAGTGTGCACGTTTAAATCCCAGTAAAAAAGGGAGAAACTCATTATCAATGTTTATGAAATAATGGTTTTCATTATGCCAGATTGTAGGGGGGTGCTGCAGCCTCCTCGGCACACCCCTACTTCCCATGTTGACCTGCAGGCCTGACCTGGTTCATAGTGACCGCAGTCTGGACCCTAGAAGCCACAGCATCCACGCGTGCACTCATCCTCAAGAAGGTTATGGACTGATGCTTCTGACGGATGGCATTTTCTGCGTGGATCCTGGCTGCCTCCATATTACCCTTCTGGATAGCCTGAGAAACAAAGGGAAGGAGGAGTAAATACACAAACATTAAATAGCCCTGCCTGTCCCTGGATCCTGAGCTCTAGTAAATCTACATTATTCCCATCCAACCTGCTTGACTTTGGCCTTTTCTGCCTTTTCCTCTTTGTCACATTTCTTGGAGTTGCGCTGCAGATCCTTGGCAGCAAACTTGAGGTTGAACAAATGTTCTGTATTGGTAGTTAAGGGAATGGTTTATTTTAATGATGGTAATAAATCTGAACAACAAAACACATACTGAGTATAAACTGAAAGACACAAAGAGAGCAAACTCAACCTAACCCCTAAACAAGTAAAACTTTAACCAAAGAGTAATTAAAATAGTCTGGAGAGCTGGCTAACCAACCATGTACCACTCTTTTCCTTTCTCAGTGAATGACTGGGCAGAAGTAAGAAGAAGCTATTGCACAGGACTTACGATAGCTACCTAAACCCAGCTTACATTTGGCCAGCTACCGCTATATCGTTACTGTATCTACAGTAATGCATTCACAGGAAAGGATACTCTCCATATTCGACATGATGAAGGTCTCTTTCTGAGACAAATACTCAGTCTGCTAATGTGCTGCTACCAAGTAGCATCCAGCCACTCACAGTTGTTTGTTTTGATTTGTCGCAAGCTAGCGACCGTTCGTCACCGTAGCGAGGCGAGAGGCTTCACTTCTGTTTACTTCCGCATTCGCTTTAACTCATTTAGGCATTGTGGCAGTTTTTTGTTTCTCTTGCAGTCAAAATAGTCAAAAAAATACATGTTTTTTTTCCTTTGGGGGAGCTTTTATAATCTATTCATGTTTAAAAAACTCTGTAAATCGCTTATAAAACGTTGAAAAGTAGCTGCTATCGTGTTACGCATGCGCAGAACAGTAGTTGTACGCTGTTTTGTCTCATACACCTAATATGTGTTAATTATAAACAAATATATAATGTATTGAACGGACGTGGCTGTGTGCGACATGACTGTTGTCGTCCCAACTGGATCGATTCACTGGATCGATTGGCTGGATCGATTGGCTGGAGTGACCCATCTTGACTTTACCTCTGATCTTTGAACACCAGGGCGCTACTTCTGTCTACCTTTCACCGCCGTCGTCACACGGTCACGATTTTTTTTATTTATTTATTATTATTTTTTTTTCGCACGGCTTGCTCGCGCCTCCTACGTCACGATTGTTCAAGAGCGGACGAGGGTCGCGCGTGTCCACGGCAGACAAGTCCCATGCGGGCTAAAAATAGTTTGTACCCGGTATCGGTAGGTTGTGGTACACGTCTAGTGACGTCGTTTGCGCTTTTTTGGCGAAGGAGTAAATTGACCTTTTTTTTTTTAAATTTTTGTTTCTTTTATCATTGAACTCGCGCGCGTGTGTGTAAGTGTAAACATCTGTAAACACATGTGGAGTTGTGCATGGAGAGAAATGGCTGTGTGACCTGATGGAAACATATAGTGGAGGAGAGGGGGGGGGGAGAGGAAAAAAACTGTCCGGTATGTGCGTGCATCGAAGGGGGCTGGGGTTGGGGGGGGGAGCATGGATGACTCATACTGTATCTGCTGATACTCTGTATGGACACAGCAGCACTGGATATAAAGATGTGTGTGTGTGTGTGTGTGCGTGAGGGAGAGTGAAGGAGTGAATGAAAAGATGTTTTTAAAAAGGAAGTGAGCAAACATAGACGACCCCTGGCCTCACCCCCCTCCCCCCCTCCCTCCCCCTCCCCCTCCTCCAACACACACACTCTGAGGTGATATTTTTATCCATTTTAACTCGACCAAAACACACCAGAGCAGGCAACACAATAAAGTGTTTATTCATCCAGCAGGCGTATGTTATAAAAGCCCCGTGAGTGCATTCATTCATTCATTCATTCATTCATTCATTCAGGACAACATACAGGCTGTATTTGGTTCTGAATATAGCCTAAACTTTATTTATAACACAAATGGAGCTGGCACGCATATTAGAAATAGGCTATATTACACCTGTTAACGCCCCCCCCCTCCTCCCTCCTCCCCCCTCCCGTGCAACCACCACAACTCCACCACCATTGTTGTGACCGTACACACACACACACACACACACACACACACACACACACACACACACTCCCCAGTCATAACTGAATGACGGCAGGTCGCTATGGAAACTGCGTTACGCTCCGGGCGGCCGGAGGAGAAAACAAGAGCGCGAGGACTCATTTCAGTCTTCATTTCAGCACCACGCGAGCTCCTGGACAGCGCCCGAATGAACTCGCGCACAGATTCCAGCCTCACATGCCTTATAAGGGACAGAGCAGCATCAGCACCGAGCCTCGCCGGAGTGGGTAGGGACTTCAAAAGAACAACAAACCCACGTAGAAGAAGAGACACTCCGGTCCCGAAGCTCGGTGGATACTCGAGGTTTAATTCCGCCGTCACACCGGGAGCCGGTCGCTCCTTCAAACGCCACAGCAACAGGTAAGAACCTCCAGCTCTGTAAAGTTGGTTAATTCACTTTTCTTTTTTCTTTTTTTTTTTTTTTTTGCTGACTGCATGGAGCGTACAGACCGGTGTATCTCTAGTGTGCGTGTGTTTTTTAAATCCTGGCACTCAGAAGTACATCTGCCCTTTTTATCCTGCCAGGCACTTAATTGCGGTTAATTACCCTCACCGGTATCTCAGGAGTAAGTAAGTGCGTGATTAGGTGATTAGAGTGAAGATCAGAAGGGCAGAGTGAAATTCAGCAGGGCTCTGGATCACTTCCAATCCATCCAGTTGGTGGTTATTTTATGGGGAAACCACAAGTATTGTCAGGGCACAAGTTAAGCAGGAACATTTTAAAGATCCTATACTCTGTATATTTTATACAAAATGTGTGTTCAGTAGATATTGCAATTACATTTTGCAGGATAAATACTGAGGTTTTTTTTTAAACCACAATTCATGGGATTATAATTGTTTAAGTGAGTGGAAGAGGGGGGAAAAAACGGATATTTAGATAGACACAAGATTATTGTACAATTTAAATAATTTATTAGTATCATTTAAAAATAATTTTGTATAAAAAGATACACACATAGGGCTTTATCTAGAGTTTTCTATTCACAGGACTTAATTGTTTTTTCCCCCTCATATACTACTTTATACATTTAAAACTGGACATGGTAACTGGAGTTACACAGCATTGTTGTTTGTGTTTGTTTTAGCTTTATATTCCCAGTGCATATGAGACCCTCCGATTTGTTGGGTTTTCAATGGCCATAGATTATGTGTGTGCTGAGCCGATACGCCTGGATGAGTCACTCAGGCTGCAAGTTTGCAGAAGAGTACGAAAGGGGAGGGGGAGATACAGGGGCTAGCTGGAAAACAGTCCCGCAGTGCCTCTCTGCCTCTTCAACACATTGTTTCATCATATATATACGATCAGTGTCAACATCTGGAAATGTATTCACGGGCTCTGGATGTAGGATTGCTATTTTGTACAACTTGAAGTTCAGCTTGTTGAAGTGGGGGCACAGACAGATGTCTCATCCACGGCAGTTTTTTAAGATCTTTGTGTTCTCAGACTGAACTTCTTTTGTCTTCTGGTAAGCATATTCAGTTCCCTTTGAATGAGCAGAGAAGGTTGCTGCCTGTTGTAGCTTTGCAGATGCTACGGAGTAAAGTGCTGTTCTTCGGTGTTTGTTGTTATGTGTGCAACGTGAATTAGAAGATTTATAAACACTCCCTATAATATATTGTTTGTGGTTGTTACAGACTATAGCCCTCTGATGTCTGACAAACTGCCACCAGAAAGCATCCCATTACTGTTCATTAGTATCCCGGTGTTTACCCTGCTAGTATTGACAAATCATAGCAATCAGCAGCATTCAACTGTAGCACTGAGTGACATATATTGATTAAAGCAAACAATAGATCATAATGGGCTGCCATGAACCACAGTTGCACACTCAAACACGAGCACTCACTCCCTGAAACACTTTTATGTGCACCCACAATCATATCCTCAATCACATAGAGTCTTCTGACTGACTTGCTTAGGCAAATGTTGTTTGGCATTATTGAAAAATATGTCTAGTTTGTAGAGATTGATTGATGGAGTCTGGATGCAGAGGCTGCGTGCGTAGCTGCCAGGAGGATTACACATGTGAGAGCCAAACAAAAAAATAATTGGCTGTTATTAAATCCCACTTTGTTCCAATTTGTTGTTACAATTTACAAAAGGTGTTCTGTAAAAGCTTGTGTGCGCTCACACGAGTGTGTGTGGGAGTCATTGTATGTAATGTATACACATCATGTGGTGCACACACAGACACAAAAACAGATGTGTGTCTTTAATTAGTGACGTTGGTGTGATTAATGCAGTCTGCTGGTGATGACTCATTCAGCTTAACCCTTGCTCCTCTGGTGGAAACAATCAATAAACAAAGATTTAGTCTGCCTTTACATGTCATTATTGTTATTATTATTATTATTACTATTATTATTTTACACAATTATTCATTTTTTTTGTAATTCTGTTTAATGTTTTAAAAATAAGTGAATCAGATATCCTATCGGACTGAGATGGAGTGTAAACAAAGGGACTAATTGATGTGATAGAAGTTTAAGGTAGTGAATAATATAATGTGTTTATTCTAAATTTGTTGTGATCTGGTTAAGCAGTGGAAGAATAATTATGCTAAACACATCTATGTGGATGGCTCCATGTGTCAGCTTGTCAACACAGTAGTTACATTAGCATTGTGGAAAAGCTGTCAGCCAAGCTGTGACTTGCAGACAGCAGACTGGCAGGGAGTGTGCATATGAGTGTGAGTGAGTGCTAAATATGTGTATGAGAGAGAGAGACAGAGAGAGCGAAATACTTAAACACATAGTGCATTTTGATGGGGAGTTGTAATAAACTCTCATTGCCGTCCTCCATCCCTCCCTTCAGGGCAGCAGCATGTCTGAAACCAAATCCAGTCAGCGGTTCCACAGCCTGAATGCTGAGCAAGTGGAGGTCCTCCATCAGGTTTTGTCGGAGGTGGTTCCAATCCACGGCCGTGGGAATTTTCCCACGCTGGAGCTGCGTCCCCGAGACATCATCATAGCCGTGCGGGCCAGGCTGCAGAAGCAGGGAATCACAGTGAGAGATGTGCGTCTGAACGGCTCCACGGCCAGTCACGTCCTCGTCCGAGACAACGGAACAAGCTACAAGGACCTGGACATCATCTTTGGAGTGGAGTTGCCCAGTCAGGAAGAGTTCCAGGTATTATTACTGTGCTGCTTGGTTATGAAAAGGAAGCAGGTCAATTTAATAAGAGTTGAGCACTGGCAATCAATCCCCTAAAAAGCATTCATTCTGCTGTATTATCCTTGAGTAGGCCATTGAATCTCTACTGTCTCTAGGGTGTTGCAGTATTGATTTTTGTGACGCTATATTGATAATGATGTTATAGTAATCCTAGCGATAATTTAATTGTAGACCGTTTTACCATAGGGCTGAATCAATAGTACTGGTTTTAATATTTTTAATTACATTATATAGAAAATGAAACCACAAGAGCATCATAATATTCAGTTCAGTGATACAAGCTAAATTGCAGTCAGATTGCGGTCATCGGTTGTAGCTTTCATGTTGTTGACTTCTTTTCCTCCCAGGTGATCAAAGAGTCAGTGCTGGGCTGCTTGCTGGACTGCC